CAATAGTTTTCATCTTTTGTGGATAATTCTTGTCACAAATACATAGTTTCGTGCTTATATTTATGTATAAAAATTTTTTAGCAGCACCACATCTTTATCAGAAAATTCCGAGAATCCAAAAATTGGTACTGTTACAAGTTGCAGGCCATCATTTTAACTCGACCTCCTTCCTGTTCCATGGATAACGGTACATCTTTTAGAGGTTAAAAAATATTTTGCGTCAGCAATTTGTCGTCGAACTGCACGTATTACGTACCCTATCCTCGGAAAAGCAAAGAAAGAGAAGAACTTTATTTTCGAATCTTTACTCAGGTGTACCGAATTCTGACAGTTTGGAAACGCGCAACACTTTTAGTATTTTCATCCAACTTCACTAACTTATTTTTTTTTTACTTTTACAAGAATCAAAATTGTGTCTACTAGTGAATCTGGTGGCATGATTTTAGTTAAATGTCATAAACTTGTTAAAAGTTCGGCAACAACAACGAATGTTAATGTATTAAACTACCTTCTGTGTTTGTATCATGGCGTTTTATTTTCTCGAAATAATGTTGCTCTGTTTTCCTCAGCCCTTTCACAACTTCACGTGTTCATTTCTCAATATATTGCCCTCCGCCTAAGCAAAAGTGCCATACTTTTTGCTAATATAGTCATTTTGCGGGACAAAAAGCAACCTACTGCAAATGTTACAATATTTATAAGAAGGCAAAATTGTTTAATAGAAAAGAAAATGCCATAAGTTTGTAATTTATCTCTGTTTTTATATTTAAGTAATACAAACATGAACATTTCTTTGTTAAACAAAAATAAAGTGGTGTACAGCTTAGCTAGGAATAATCTTTGTTAGCAAAAAAAATTTAATGGATTTACTAGTCCTTCTAATTGTAATTTATGTATTAAAAAAAGTTAATTCTAGTTGAAACATTTTAGCCGTTTTTAGCCGTTTTTTTTGTCCAATCTAGCCGGTCACCCCAAAAACTTCTGGCAACACTGATGAACACAAACAATCGCAAGCATAGCTAGTGAATGAGGAGAGCATATAGAAGGTGGTGCCGATGGCAACACCGCTAATCGGCTCTCAGTGAATTTGACAAAATCAGCTGTTTTGCTGACGTCACAGTCGAGATGACAGCAGTAGTGATGTGCTGAGTCAATACTTTTAAGTATTGATCGATATTCGGTACCGATTTAAAAAGTTACCAATGCTCTCGATACTCGGTACCGAAATATTTAGGTTCGAGTAAAAGCGCACATAGGCCAAAAATATGGAAAAAAACGTTTCAGGGGAGACTCGCCTATCAAAACCCAAATGTAAGAGCCAATAGACGATATTTAATACGTGCGTAACTTTCATTTTGAGCTCCAATAATAAAAAAAATCGGATGAATTGATTTTAAACGAATTTACACTTCAATAATTTACAGTTGGTCATCATAGTAACCGGCAGCAGCCAAAGTTCTTCTGATCAAGTTTTGGTCACTGAATATACATACATACATACATATGTACATATGTATACGCTAAGTGTTTACAGTTTACTGCAAAATTTTTAAATATTTTTTTTTCTGCTCAACTTAGTGAAAGCTCCTTTCGAAAGTAAAATTTTTCATAAAAACTAAAATAATAAAAATATACATACATATATTGTGTTAACCAAAATGTTCGTACAAAAAAGGTCAATCTTATCAAAGTGTCATAAATTTTACTTAGATAAATTTCATTGTTTCATATTTTGCGCTCGAATGCAAGTGCAAAATTTGTACGGTTTTGTTGCTTTTGTGTTGCGAAATCCATTTTAATCCATATGAAAATATTTCCAAAATCTCATGTATGCAGATTTTCACAAATAAGTTTTTATGCGTGTATATGTTTTGGTTCATTCAAGTGCATAAGTATTAGTAAAAGCTGCGCTTATAAATGCCGGAGCATGCTTTTGGCATTGACATAAGCCACTATGACGTAAACAAATCGAGTTTTATTTTATGCACTTAATTTATGAGCAAACGAGCTTGCAAGCTATACACACACATTCACACTTACAAACACATATGCATAGCATGTATGTATGTATGTACTATGTATAAACAACTGCATTCACAAAATTCTGAATTTTATGCATTAACTAAGTGCAAATGGATATGAATATGAATTTTATATTTAATAAAAATTTATATAGATTTCTACTTAAAATTTTGTATGTGTACTTGAGTGCAGATATGTCCTATGTGCGTGCCGATGAAAATCACCACCAACGGGAGAAGCTAATAGTTTCGAACTAGCTCACTACCAGTTTGCTCTGCAGCTCAACTAGTTCATTAACTAGCCTTTTTCCACGACGGCGACTGATAAGTTTGCAGCCTGATCTACTTAATTATAATTAATAATTATTGACAAGTATGGTTTTATCTTATCTTTCTTATTACTTAATACTCGATATTAGTTGCAACTTAAATAAAACATCATAATTTTAGAAATTTTAGAAATCAGTATAAAAATCAATATAATAATCGATCTTGTTTATCGATATTATTGTCCGTAAAGTTATCGATATATTTTTCGCCACAGGCATCGATATAGTTACCATTTTTAAATTTTCTTTGACACTGCGATAGATTTCACTAGACGCGACATCGATCGTTTGTTTGGAAATTGTCAAACTGGTCAGCATCTGCATCAGTTAATACTAGTTAACAAACTAGTCAGCCTTCACTTAAGCCTACACCAGTTAATCTATTCGAATATTTACTGAGTAGTTTAGCCGTTCACTGCAGGGACCATAAGTGCTTGTTAGGGCTGACAGTTATTTATGGTTGTAGACTAAGGCTGCGTTTCACCAGATTCATTTAAGTGAAAATTACTTAAATTTTTGACTTTTTTGGTTTCGCCAATCAATTCTAATTTGTTTTTAATTTTGATTTCACCTTAAATTAAAAATTAAAACAGAATAACCACACTCAGCGATATTACAAGTTAATCAGCTGATCAATATAAACAGACCACAATTTTGTGTATCAGTTGTTTGCTTGTATAACAGCCCTGCTTTTGCAACCGCTTTTAGCACAGTGCTGCCATATTTTTACTAACATAAATAAAGAGCTTATTGAAACTGAACAATTAACTGATGAAGTTAGAATTAAATTAGTTTGGTGAAACGCAGCCTTAAAGTGCTTGCGCAACTGGCATATTCAACTCTGGCATGTGGCCCCCGGATCGCATAAAAATTGTCGAAGTTATGCAACTTTCCTTAAATACGGCCTAGAATCTATATTCTTCTCATAACATGTTCGATCTTTAAAATTGAATGAAAACTAGCCATTCAAAACTGATAAATTTACAAAACTGTACTTTCTCGCCTAAAATGACAGATGGCGACCTCTAAATGATTTTTAAAAATCCTATAAAAATAGGCAATAATATTTCACATAAAAAGGAAGGAAATTCGGGAGTAAGGTCTTAAAATTATAAAAAAAAAATTAAAAATTTCGAATTTTTTATATGAGATATAGTATGTAGATATATGTTAACATTGGAGAAATATTTCCAAATTTTTCCAGAGTTGTTATGGCTCCAAAACGATGCGGCATCATTAGCGCACACAAGGGGTGGCTTTTGGGGTTCAAACGCCCCCTAAAGCTAATAACCTCAAATACAAACTGTATCTTAAAGCTAAGAATCCAGCTCTCAAGGAAATTATAAGAAATATTTATTATAATTTCTGTTGCTTGAAAAAGCGCTTTGCTTTTGCTGTCAATTTTCATGAGGAAATGAATATACGAGCATTTTATCTGGAGAGCTGCAAACTGATTTAAGAAATTTTGGTAGAAAATTTCTTTTCATTTTCTCGTCCGTCGTTTTATATAAATTTTTCGTTTTTCTTGAGAGTTCAGTTAATTTTTTCGGTATTCGAAATATTAAAAAAATTTAGAAATCGTGAAAAATCAGCATTTTTATCGAAAGCCAAAAACCATAAATCGAAAAAAGGAACATAAAAGAGCAAAAATTCATGGAATCAATAAATTTATTTTTACTGAGTCTTTTTTAATATTTTTTATTAGGTACTTTTGAAAGTTGAGCGCATCTTGAGTTTATAGAACTTTTTATTAAAAAAAGTAGTTTTTAAGGAAAGAACACAACCGACTTCAATTCTTATATTCAAATTTAGGGGTACCGTTAATTTCTTCATGATCCAATCATCGCATCTCTAAACTAAATTACGGGCCGAACCTTGAGGTACCGTCTTTCTACAAAAAAATTATTATTGAAATCCGTTCACGTGGTCCAAAGTTACGTATTCCGGCGAATTGATAACCTCCCTTTTTTTTAAAGTCGGTTAAAAGTGTTTGAGTTCTGTTAATCTTACGTAAGTAAAGTGCAGTTTATGAATTTTAAAACGCTTATTTATTTATTACATACTGTACATAAAACTTGCATAAATATATTTTAAAGAGCGTATTATCTGAAGAAAATTTTCAGTATTTTCCGGTGATATATCTTCAGAAATATAAAACCCCCC